ATATAACAGTGAGCTTACTGTAGGTTTTTGAGAAATGGTCTGAGGTTGTTTGATTTGGAAAAATATCAATAGACAGACATTCAATTCAAATTCAATCCCTAAGGGATTAATAAATTAATAGTGCTCTTTGTGGTTTGAAGATAATGTAATCTGTTGTTATAGATCTTCTGTTCGTTTGCAGAAAGCAGTAGTAGCATCCAAGAAGATGCAGATAATTAGAGGAGAGTTTAGACTCTGATCATTATTACTTAAAACCACAAAGCTTGTATTGGTCACTGTGTGAGTGACTGGCTCAGCTGGAGCTAATGCCAGATCACTAATCAGTAATTATAGTCAAATCACAGTATATTCACTTAGCATATTAAAAATGATGCTTGCTTAAATGGGTATGCGATTATGAATGCACAGTACTTATAGATATGGATATAGAAAGTACTAAGAATGTCAAAACAAAGCTAACCTGGATAGTAACTTATTTAATGATGTTACAGATGTAAGAGAGGCGTAAAAATAAGTTCATACTCCTGCCCACTCTTTTGAATGTTTAAATAAACTTTAGCCATTGTTTTAAATTGATTTACTTTGTTTATTCTTTTATTGCGCTGCGTTCAAGAAACTCAAACTAGGTTATGAAGCACAAGAATGAATGTGTGAGTTAACTAAAACTCTGAAGAGAACATTTTATGAGTAATATTATCAACAAGTCATATCAAAACAGAGATGACCTGAGCTAGTGGGACCTTGCACCCAGGTTTAAACAAAGAAAGGTCTTATGTTTGTTGAGGAATGACAAGTAATTAAGTTAAAACATTTTAAAGTTCATCCCTAAAGTGTCACTCTTTTTGCTTTGTAATCGTAAACAAATTGAAGAAAAAATTTATTTGTTCATCACTAGCAGGTTCAGACCTTTGATCTCATCTAGAAATCAGATGTGGACGTTTGAATAAACAGTTTGGAAGCCTCTAGTCCAGATGGTTTAGCTTAAAGTCCGTTCTCGGAGCTGCGGCAGTGTCTACCTTGTGCTCTCGGCGAGCTCGTTTCTGCTGCTGCTCGATGAGATCGGACGCCGACGCCGGAGGAGACGCTGCCCTCATACTGCGAATGACTCGAATGCTGTCCTCTGGCAGCGGAGGGAGACCCAGCTCCTCACGTTTGCAGACCTTTATGCTCTGAAGCCGCTCAAACCCTCCCAGCGTGAACTGAAACAGATGAGAAAGAAGGATTTTCCGGCACAATGCGTCTCTTCGCACCAGAAGCAGCCTGGATCGGTTTCCTCTCTCACCAGTATGCTCTTCCACAGCAGCAGCAACACCTTCTTCATGGGAAAGTGTGGGGCATGGCCGCTGCAGAACTTAGTAACCATTCCAAAGAGCATGACGGAGATCGGGTCGTTGTTGAACAGAGGTGAACCTGGATTTTATCACCAAGTTGTAATTCGCTTCCATGGGAAATTTTCAAACACATCCTAAAAATGATGGCAGCTATTCTGAAGATGTTTACCCAGTTCAGCTCTGAAGGTTTCCTTCATGATTTTCCATTCAGGCTTGTCGGCTGGGTCGTCCTGCTGGATCGTCTCCACCATCAGGTACATGATGTTGAGCAGAACTCTGAGATCGGTGCTGTCAGCGAGGGAGATGGCCGGCTTTCTCACCGCACTGCTGCAGGCAGCGCTGTTACTGAACAACAGGAAACAGATTGTTGTTATTCAGAGGAACGTCTGCCCACCCAAAGCCTCGTAAAATGTTGACTTTTACGAGGTCGGGTTCGTTAAACAGTCGTTGCTCGTACTCGATCTCCATGTTGAGAAGTTCCACCAGAGCAGAGAAGGTTCCAACATCAAGCAACAGAAATATGTTGTATCTCATCCAGTACTGAACCTCAGCCTCACAACTGCAGTCTGCAAAGGTACCTGAAAAAACAAATACACCAACGTAAAGCTAAGAAAAATACAGATGTTCTATGGCTGAATTCATTCGGTCAATTGTGATTAATCAATCAAAATTATTGTCAACTAATTATTAATCTATGAATTGTTAAATAGTGTGCATGAATTCAAAATGAGCCAACTGCTGAAAGAAAAACACACTCATGGCTGTAATGATGTCAAAACTGCTCAAAAACAACAAAGACATTTTGCATTTAAGATAAATACTAAATAAATATTTGCCTCTAAAAATGTTCGACCCAGAATTCCTTAAGTTCTGAATTTGAACAAATTTTTACCTGATTTAAATTCTATAAATAAATTGAAAAAACTTCTATTATTTGATTAATCCAATTATTAATCAGTTAACTCAAACATTAATCATCACATCAGTCCTACTCTGTATTAATGCTAAGTCAAGCAGAAAGGCATGAGCTTTTCACACGACTGTACTGAAGTATTTTTTTAGATGCAGATGAATTCTTTGCTATCAATAATCAACGATTCACCAAAGGAACATTGTTCTTTTTTACACAATAAATTGTTTTTTCTCCTTGAATTATTTGCATTTTTTAATCTCTAATTTTGTATAAAATAAGTTTAAGATCGCAAATAAAAAAAATCTACAGAATGTGCCAATTTATCTCATTGATTAATCATCATAATAATTGATAACTACAACAATAGCAAGTTGCAGCCTGAGTATATTTTTATTCCAAACAATGTAAACAACTTGCACTGACCCTGAGCCATGTAGAGGATGGCTCTGGCAACCTTTAGCCTCTTCTCACGGCCAATCACCTCCAGGCCGTCCAGCAGACGCATGGCGTGCGCTCTGTGCTGAGCGGCATCGAGGTCCGTCCACTTCTTATCCGACACTGAGGTCCAGGCAAACAGAGAATGCGACATTTTAGAAATACCTTCAATTTATAAATGGTAGTTTGAGGAATAACTACTCACCATGAGCTCTGAATTCCTCCTCGAAGCACTTCCTGTTGAGGGCAAACTCAGGTCCTTCTGTGTAACTGTAAAGCTCTGAAACATTTGCAAATAATTGTTAATAAAAAGGCTATAAATGCATGTAGAATTAAGTTTTGAATGCTGAAAAAATATGCATTGAGATGTCTGGAACATCTGTTTATTCGCATTGCACTATTACACAGAACAAATTGATCAAAGTGCTTCAATTTAAGCTGTGCATTAGAATGAAAACAGAATAAAAACACAGCATACACACCTGACAGCTCTGCGGCCCACTTATCTGTGTCAGAATACTCAAACTCAAGATCTGGAGACTCAGACAGGCCCTGTGAACAACACATAGCAGCTTGAGTCAATCTGATGGATGGCTTCCAAAAAGAAATCAGTTTATCAACCTTTTTTTAATCGTGTACCAAAAAGCACACGAGTGTTTTTCAAAGATCTTCAGAGGATGTTTGAGAAATTTAACAGACAAAACACCGAGATGAAAAAAAATTCTAAACTGTGTGTGATAATATAAAGTTCATGATCTTAACAGCCGCTCAGTGTGAGCCAGAAAGCTGTGCAGCAGATTGCTGGTTCTGCTTTTGACGAAGCCGATGATAACTGTTCAAAGTATTTGTGGAAAGAGTGTGACAATGTTCAGAGGCTGGTTCCTTCTGCGGATCTGAAACAGATCCTGGGCAGAGGACAGGGCTGCTCCAGTGAATCTTTCAGCTCCTCTCACCGTCATCGGCAGGGCTCTTCTGTCTGCTATACTCAGCTGGAGAACCGCACCAATATCAATAAGTTATCAGCTGTGATACTGAAACCATCTTACTCACTAAATCCAGTATGTATTATTTTCAACAACACCTCTAAGGGGATGGATCAGAACAAGAATCCTCACTCCACGCCATCAACCCTGGTCCTCAGGGACAGTCTCTTCATGTTTTAAATGGCTCCCTGGTCCAGTGCACATTATTAACACGATCGCATTCCCTTCACAGCATCATATCAAGTGCATTAAGTGTTAATGATTTTATTTTTTTAAATTCAGTTGTGTGGCAGAAAGGAAACAATCTAAACCAAGCAGTGGGTTTTGAGGACCAGAGGTCTTAATGGTTCATTTTCCTTCCTGTTTCAGAATGTTTCTCTGCTTTATAACACCTGATTCTCATTAACAGGCTTTTTGCTGAACAGCACTCATCTGAATCAGATGTTAAAGCAGAGAAACAAATTAAACATCCAAGACACCGTGCCTCGAGGATAAGGGTGGGAAAACACTGGTTTCGATGTTTCCCTTTTGCCACACACAAGTGAAATAAACACACTTCTCCAGACCTCACTGGGATAACTAGGGAAGCAACAATAATCCCGTCTATTTCACATATATTTGACTATTTTACATAAAGATTACCCAAGATATTTCCTGTTAAAAGGACACTACTTCATATAGATATGAAACTAGATTGCTCTGTTAGGTTTCAAAGTAGAAAAGGTGAAGTTAGTCTGATCCATGGCAGTTATGGCCTCTAATAGCAGCTAGCTAAGACTAGCTAGTTAGCGTTTAACATCAGAAACACCGATGATAAACGACATTAACTACTTAAAAGCCAATGACTGAAACGACACTCAGCTGCCGCTTACTTTCATTACTTAAAGTTTCTTGGTTCTGATACTAAAACGGTCAGTTAGTCCAACTGGATCGAGCTAGATGTCGTTACCAAAGCAGCAGCAGATCCAAAGGCCTCCGTTTGTTTATCTCTGAAAAGCCACGATGACAATGAACATTTTTCTCTATTCATACCTCTGAGTCTTTCCTTGGAGTTCGAGGGAATTCACTTCTGCCTCCTTTATTTGGTAGCATCGCTCTCTGTTTATTGTTTACAGGAAGCCCACTACCATTCCCACCGACCTCCATAATTCATTTGCAAGCGAAGTAAACTCTCGCGAGATGGAACGGGGTCTGCGAGAGTTTGCCTCTGACGTCAGCATCGCACGCTTTCTCAAAAAGAATGTTGAAATACTTCAAAATGCATTACAAATGATTTTTTTTCACCAACCTTGCATACAGTTTTGTAGTAACAACTAATAAAAGTGACATTTGCACAGCTTTCGAGAGTGAATCATTTATTTAGGACAGATGCTGAACAGAATGCAGATTCATAAAATCATTCAAACTAAACTACAGCTTGTGTTAAACGCAGGACATTACATAATTGGGAATCTTTAATTCAAATGCAACATTCTCCTTTTAAATCACAGTGGGACTCGACATGACAGTAGCTGGGATTCACATTCATTTGTGTTCACTGTTAACGTGATTATAATTAGTCAAAGCAGATACATTGATTACAGATGCGTTTTCAGGTGCTTCAATGGGAATAAGACTAAATGCTCTCACAAGAAATAAAACGGGAAAATCTGCAATTTCAAAACATTGAACATGTAAAATAGTTTACATTTTTGAGACTGGGCTGCTAATGCAGAAAAATAAAATTCCTTAAGACTGACGAAAGGATGAGGGTTTTAGTGCATAGATGTCATACTCTGGAGGAAACTAAACTCTGTTTTAAATACAAATGACTAAATGAGTTGCAAGGCACTGTCAACCAATAGTCACCATGGCTACAGCACTTACTTTCTCTCATTCCTTTGAGTGTCCCTGAATCTACTGCCATTGAAGCTGTCAGTGCAAACAAGTAAGCACTTCACAGCAGCCCTCAGTTATTCCTCAACCAACAATAGGTGAAATGGACTCAAATCGGCTGATTAAAAGGTTACATCAGCTGAAAACATTGGTAATAGTAATTATATCTTATTGCAGAAGAACATTTTTAAAGGGTGAAACCGCAGTGTGCACAGTTTTACGATGACTTTGAAAGTATACCAAACATGAATGGACAGTTACTTAGTCAATAATATGGTCATCACAAAGTACAGCAGTATATAATGCAGGCAACAGAAATGTGTTAACGAGTTTTGACAGCACAAAAACCACCAAACTCTGCAGCTTTACCAAAAACGATCAAATAAAAAAGTTATGGCTTATAGTTAGAAAGAGGCAAATGTCATGAGGATATCGAAAACGCTGCACAATGATGCTTAGACATAACTAAGTGTATAAGATGAGACAAAATGTAAAGCAAGATTTGGTTAGAACTGGCTGTAGAGGTTTGTTTTTGTTTTTTTGCAAAGCATTTTAGACTTTTTTTCTTCCTGTATAAAAAAATTTATCAAAACCACAAAGCCATCTGCTGCATGAAATAAGACCTATGCTGACCCATATTCTTCATTCTAAAGAATAATATAACTTTTAAAACACTGCTCTATCTGCTGCAGAATTAAAATGGAATATACATCACTAAAAATGAACTTTTATCAGGTCAGTTGAACCCAACACATTATTAAAACTTCAAAAGTATTTATTTAGTACCATTATAAAATGGAGATTTAAAAAAAAAAATACTGATTAAACATGATGCTGAAAATCAAATGAAATAGATCTTGTAAGAAAAATATTTACAGATTATGCAAATGCCCTTAAGTGACAAAAACATTACTGAAACATTTTTGTCCCCAGAAATTATAGTCCTAATTATTCATTGTGGTAAGCAGAAACCATGATATTAGTCAAGATCAGGGCCCTTCTTCTCCCTCTCATGGAATGCCTCTTGTGAATAAATGTTTTTATGTGAAAAGAAAAAACATTAAAGCAGCACTGAGCTATATTTGGCCACTAGGTGGTAGAAATATTAGAAACAAAGTTTTTTTTTAAGTTGCTATGGCTCATCTGCAAGCAAACCACACTAAATATACCCAAATAAAGCTTAATTTGGCTTCCTTAAAAACACAAGTTTTCACGTTTGGTCCACTTTGAGGAAAAAATATTCCCCACTCATCGTGTTAATGGCAGCGCACATCCCAGAAAGCTTTCACACAGTTTTTACGCACAAAAGTGAGTGAAAGAATCAAACACCCAGCTAAGTCTTTAAGGTTCAATAAGGAACTATTAATTGGTACATGCATATTTTCAGAATTAAATCTCATACAGTAATTATGTACATCTAAAAAAAACATAATAATAAATTGGCTCTCAAAACAGTTTTATCTCGTATTTAGTTCTTTATCTTTCGCTAGACCTCTATCCTCTGTGATTTGGCACATTTTACTGGAAAAGCTCTCAGTAGCTCTCATACAGGAACCAGCAAGTAAGGAAACACATTCTATACATCTATCAGATATCCAAGCACTCCAATTATTACATTAGCCTTTTATAGCCAGCTAAGTGCCACGTGCATCGTTTATAGGAAGCATCACATCAGATGCGTCTGAATACAAGTTGTGCCTCCCGTAAAAAGTATAAAATACAAGATAGATAAATCTATGTGCTGCCAGGAGAAAGGCTAAAATCAGAAATATACAGATCTATGTAGGGCTGGTCCGGACCGTGGTGCTGGCAGCCTAATACCTGAGAGAAAAAACACAAAAATACATGTATTTTTTTAAGTTTCAGAAGGTCCTATAAAATATTCATACTGGTTTACATTTTAGCTCGCATATCAAATACAATTCTACAATAATCCATTTAGTATAAAAATGTATATTCTACTGATTTTTATGTGTCAACTGGGTTTAAAGTTGTGTCATTGTCAAGTTACTAAAGTTTTAGGGTAAGCATCAAGAAGAAACATTTGCTACGGAATAATTTTCAGAACATTGAATGGAATCAAGACATATAGTTATTAGAAGAAATGTTTTAACCTGCATGTGCTCTATCATTTTAAATGTGCAAAGTACATACGTACCTATAGTAGTTTGGCTTAAAGGGGCCATTTTTATTCAAACCCAGATACTTTGCCTGCTCATCAGTGAGTTCTGTTAGGTGGGCATCAAAAGTGGCCAGATGCAAACTGGCAACATACTCATCTGAAAAAGAAAAAAAGAAACGGCATACGGAGACAGAGTGTTTGAATTCAAAAGACTCGATGTCTGAGATGATTTCTATGGGTGACTTTTATTACAAAAACCTTACATTCTCAATTTGAAAGCAGGAATTTAATCTCTACTTTCAAAACTTAATAGTTGTGTACTGTAAACTTCTGCTCTCTTTCAAATATTCTCACTTCTCCTTCAAATTTTGTTGTCGTTCTCAGATTTTCTACTTCTTGTACAGATATTTTCTCCTTGCACTAGAAGCTTTGTATCTGCAAAGATCAAATCTGCGATCACAAACCTCTCTTCCTTGTTATTGTGTAGTTCTCCTTGCAAGCTTCTAAAATGTAAAAACAATACTGTCACACTTTGAATCCTTACCCATTTTTTTGGGAAGCAAGTACACGTCTTGTTTGTAACGTCCCTCTGGGGCATTATACAACTCTATAAGGGCCAAGGCCTGAAACAGAAACAACTATGACTCACACGATCATATCAAAAATGAAAAAAAAAGACTACAAAGCTTGAATTTAATAAAAGCAAGAGGCAGGAAAAAGGAGTTAAAGCTATAAAAATAACCATCATTTAGTGCCCCAGTTACTCCGTCATTTCCAGGGCGGATCAAGAGATTACGAGCCATAATTGCAGAAAAAAAAAATTACTGCAAATCCTGTGTGCTCTTCTAGCTATTATAAAGCAGAAACATAAATACAGTTTGGCTTTAACAACCATTTTACCTGAGTGGTGGCTGTGATGGAAAGGACAAAGGTGGGAACGGTGGAGCAGCTCAGGTTCAACAGGCGCCCCTGTTAAACATGACGCCATGTTATTAGCAGGATGAAAGGAGTTTGCATATCATCGATATCACCAACTACAACTTCATCCAGAAGAGTAAAGAAAAGGACAGGACAAAACATGTTTTATAAATCATCCTGCTTAGATATAAGCTATTTTATCTAGTCAAGTTAACATCTCCAGTTATTTCTCACAAAAAGACAAGCACGCCATTGATAAGAATACAACAGTCCTAAACCCTAATTTTATTTATCAAATCTGTAGTTATAAGATGTAATTCCAATAAGCAAAGATGAAGTCCATTACCTCAGCCAGCAGGATAACCCTTTTGCCATCAGGCCAGATCACATGATCCACCTGAGAGCGGACTCGTTCCCACGTTAGCTCAGGAGTCCGTAGACTCGCCTAAAAGGGTCAAAAACAGGAGTCACTCTCTCATCTTTAACTCAATCCTTCAAATATCTTTACGAGTTTGAAAGCAATAGTTTACCACATCAATCTCAGTGTTTGAGTGTCCCATGTTGCACACAATGCAGCCGTTTTTCATACGATCCAGCTGCTCCCTGGTCACCACGTTTTTATTCCCTGCGGAAAGGCCATTTTAACCCATCATCCACATAACTGCGTACAATCAAAGGTCAACAGTGCAAAGAGCCATTAGCTGAAAAGCCTCTATAGTAAATTAAAGAGCACAGAAGTATAATCCTGTATGTGTGCATTCTTAGGAGAACATCAGTATGACTTTACAGTTGGGTTACCAGTGCATGTGATGATAACATCGACCAGGCGAATGACCTCATTCAGCTTGACGACCCTGAATCCATCCATGCTGGTGAAAACAGAGATTAGTTCTGTTAGGCGGTATCAAATATCTGCTGACATGCAAATCAATTTAAGTGCAGAGCAGAGCTCCCCAGTGGGCTGTTATGTTGTGTGGGAATTAACTGAACAACACTGTCCAACTATGTTGAGAGTAACTACTATGATAAGGTGTCCACGGTTAAATTTACTGCATAAATCACACAATTTTTAGGCGTCAATGGAGTTCATTTAAATTGGCAGATTTCTGGGCAATTAAGAATTAGCCACATATTGTTGTTGGGCTTCAATAAGGTTGAGGCCATTACAAAAGTCTATAGGGTGTGAATTTTTTGACTTATCTTGTGTTCTTTTCAGCACTATATACATTTTCTTCATCTGTCGTTTAAAAACGCCACAGTGAGCTTGCTAAAAATTGAACAAAATATCAGATGGTGATGTTTCAGCAACTTGCAATGACTGAGCCTCTTGAATAACCCTGTATGTGGAATATAATAACTTTTTCCAAGGGGCAGCTTGGACAAAAGTAATTGACGGCATTTGCACAGGTCAGTGATCCCAAAAATACATCAAAACTCCTCAATCCTTTGAAAATATAAGACTAACAGCCATGTGTGTGTGAGGAAACCAACCGTCTTGCATTAACTCCACCGGTTCTGATGATAAGTGGACAAATAAGTCAAGCGAAAGTCTCTTTCTAGTTATTTCTAGCATCTTTAAATGCTTGTTATTAATGATGCAGTCTGCCCTGTGTGTCCACAGTATGTCAGCACAGTTAGCATGGCGATCATTTAATTTAATTTTCTCCTCACCAGGCTTGCAGGGCACAGATGGGATCAATCTCTGTTACGTAGACGACAGCACCCAAAGCCTTCAGAGCTGCAGAGCAACCTTTTCCAACCTGACACAAAACCACATCAGGCAACCAAGCTATTACTTTAAATCATAAATATAAAAAACTGCTGTATTTAAACTATGAAACTCAGTTTTCCCAACATTTGTTTTACGTTATTAAGACTTAGATTGTCTCTTGATATTGCAAATTGTCTCTCACCTCACCATACCCACAAACCACCACCTGCTTTCCTCCGAACATGACATCTGTGGTTCGCTTCAAACTAAACAGATTGGAGACATAAAATTAGCATATTTAGTGGGAAAGAAGAAAAACTACCCGGAAGATTGAGTATCTGAGTAATCAAAAATATTACTTGACGCCATCTGAACCATATTGTTTATCAGCTCAAACAAATCAAGGTTGTTTTTTTTTATTGGCTTATTTTCAATTTTGGATTAAAACAATTTATGTTTCACTTGATGAGGTTGATTTTTACAGCCTAATTCACGCACAAAGGAGTTACTATGAGACAGCAGTTTAACTTGAAGATTTTTAACCAGCAGGGACAGTGATTAGAGTTGTACAAAACACTGATCCAGTTGAAATATATGCTGATCATGTAAAAACACAGTGCACTATACGCAAGAAATCCATCAACATGTTGTTAATGTACATTGTAAATTGCATACTATTCGACCAGTGGTGCAACAAAAATAAACTATAAAATAATAATACCTAGCCCATTTTACTCACCCATCTAAGATAGACTCCCTGCAGCAGTACAGGTTGTCAAACTTCTGCTTTGTCACAGAGTCGTTTACGTTCATGGCTGGAACGCACAGCTTCCCAGCTTTAGAAAGCTGGTACAACCTGAATAAAAAAGACAAAACACATAAATCAGGTTAGCAAAAATCTAAACATGTTCATAAGATTCACATCTAATTTAAAGTAAATCACCTGTGAACTCCAGTAACGCTCTCCTCGACAATGCCTCTGATCTTCTTGAAGACGTTTGGGTATTTCTTATACACCCAGTGTGTCAGGTCTCCTCCATCATCAAGGATCTAACAGAGATTTAAAAGTTTTCAAACTGTAATTAACAAAACACAAGCATCTCTTCTGACCCTTTCAGAGCTATTTTAGGCAACTGTTTCTATTGGTCTCGAGGAGATAAATATGTTTTTCACCCACCATGTTGGGTTGCCAGCCCTCAGTGTTGACACAGCGGTCAATACACCACCAGAAGTCATCCTCAGATTCTCCTTTCCAGGCAAACGCAGCCACACCTGAAACATCGGAGACGGAGATAATATGAAGCATTTTCCACAAAAAAGCCACAACAATGCTTTGTTGAGGGTTTTTATTCTCTTTAACCCCCAGAACCAACAAACCCAATGGTCAGATTTCATTTTCTACTTTATTTATTGAGCTGTTTTAAGTTCAAGTCTGAAATGACAAAAGAACAAAACCATAAAAATAATTTAATTATCACTGAGTTAATAATTTTTTTATTTAAAAAAAATTATATTTTTTTTACATTTTTATTTATGTTTGTTAAATAAACATAAATAAAAATTATTATTATTCATTATTCAGCAAATACATTCAGTAATTAAAAAACAGTTAATATAGGTTACCTTAAAAAGATGAGTTTTAAGATTTGTCTTGAAAGCTGAGAGTGTTTCATAAATGTAATTTTTTTTTAGTTTTCATATTTCCACTGTGTGTCAAAACGGACAATAAAAATGTGTTATTTTTCAGTTCAAACTGTCTGAGTTTATGTGTAGCTCCAATATCAGGACCTGCCAGTTAAAGAGTTGCTCAACAGCAGTTGACATTTGCAGACTATTTTCCACAGAGTTTAATAAACAGCCCATCTTGAAGAAGATGACACACACCAACAAATTATTAAGACAAGCACCTAGAAGTGCAGAAGCCCCGGAGAGTACTGAACTCTCCTACTTTACCAGAACTCTGAATGTTTTCTCTGGGCATTTAGTGCACAACATTTAGAGAGTTGCACAGCAACCAAGGACAAAAAGGCTCAAGCAGAGCCACACTCTCTCTAAATGGGAATACTTATGTGGTCCAATCATCTCTGCAGGGCTCCATGTTCAAGAGTTTGCCATTTCTAAACAGTAACCTGGGTTTTAAACTACATTACAAAGCAAAGCTTTGCTCAAAAGGTGCTAATAGAGGGCATGTAACATATGTTATGAACATCATTGCTGCAGTCAAGTGGAAGTAAAATATAAAAAGGATCAAACAGCCAAGTTAATGATTAATATTTTTAAGATTACATGTTGGCTGGCTTGATAAGAGAATAGTTTTCATCATCTGTGCTGCTTACCTCTCTCTGCCAGGGCAGCAGCAACTTCATTCTGCGTTGAATAAATGTTACAAGCGGTCCAACGGCACTGAGCTCCAAGAGCCACCAGAGTCTCAATCAGCACCTGATGAGAACCACACAAAAATCGAAATGTGATATGAAATCTGTTTCACTTAAAACATTAAAGGGAGCATCCAAGCCTCGGTTAAGCCACTAAAGTTTGAATATATAAAATATATATATATATATCTTACTGCAGTCTGAGCAGTTATGTGAGTGCAGCCCACGATTTTGGCACCAGCTAAAGGTTTCTCACTCTGTGCTCTCTTCCTGAGTGAGATCAGCGCCGACATATCTGAACAACATAACAAATAGTGAGTGGGAGAAACAGAAGCACAGATGATGCTGAAAAACTTAGTTTTCACAATATCTCTCAGAGAGACCGTTATTTCTACATGCACTCTCTTAAAGTGTGTAACAGAACTTACTAGTACCGGGTCAGACACCCTTTTGTCTTCAGAACTACCTAAATTCTTGAGGGCATTTTGGTCTTTAATGGATGGAAATGGTCAAAAGTAAAACTCGGGTAAGATGACGGTGTTTAAACTAAACTCAGTTAATAATAAGACACCCAGGGTGCCAAAAGAATATAATCTAAAATATCTACTCTACTACTAATAGCCTGAACTGATGGTATTAGTGGAGGCCCACACCATCCTAAGTCCGGCTAGATTTCAAAACACAATCTGGAGAAGAATCATTTCTGAGGTTTGTAAAATTAACATCCATATTTTTCGTGGTCATTGCTGCACCCTTCCGCCGCCTCTGACTCTTCGGGCACCGGATCGGTCAGAGATCCAGGTTCTGGTGGACCATAGAACCACTGATAGCAAGAAGTGGAGAGGGACCATGGTTCAGTTCGATGTCCAATATGAGTTTTATAAAACCCTGTTAGCTTGGATATTTTCTTCACCACCTCTTGGTCGAGCTCTTCTTTTTCTTTTGTTCCTGCACTTTGCTGTCATTCATTCTGTTGTCCGCCATCATGAGAAATCCTTCCCTGACCCTCCGCCCCAAAGCACAAGAAGCGTCCAACTTCGACCAATAATAATCAAGAATTCATGATGGACATTTGCCAGAATAAATCAGACATTTTTTCAACAACACTGCCAAAATTCTCTTAGCCAGTGATAAAATTAAGACATTCTGACCTTATTCATTCACAAAAATACAAAGCATCTGTCAAAATGCAGGGGCCCCGGGCTGCAGCACCAGTAAGCCCGGGTTAAAATTCGGGCTTGCTAATATTGTCCACTAAGAACTTTGTTTAGTGTTGTAGTTTGGTCGCCATCCAGAAGAATGAACTTAGCCTATGTTTCTCATGACATTGATTGACTAGGTGCTTCTTATTTTCAAATCTGTTGTTAAATGGTGTAGTAAGAGGTCCGTTTTTTGTTATTATCATAATATCTCTAACCAAGAAGTTCATAGAAACTAGCACTGCCTGGTTTCAAAAAAAGCACATCAAGGCAGATTTTCCGTCTGCGTTTTTGATGAATCAGCTGCAAGTGAGCTGCTCAGTTCACTGTGTCTTTGTCATGCGTTACCTTGTTCTGCTATCTCGATTTCACGTCTCCCGAATTCAGCCTGCTTGATGTTTTTCACGCAGAAGTCACTGCTGCCCTTCGAGTTGACTTGTGTTTTGTCCCGAGGCGAAGTCTCGTCATCTGAGCTATCAGTGTAGGACGCAGCTGAAATGAAAAAATATATAAATGGCAATACTTATGATCTCTTGATGTTGTGTATGGAGTTCAATATGCATGATGTGAACTCTGACCAGAGCAGTAGCTGTCAGTGGAGGACTGCGAGATGGAGCGGGACAGGGAACGGCGGCCTGTTTTGGTGGGAAACCTGCTGAACTCCTGTTTCTCCTCAACAAACTGAATTTGCTATAAAACAAACAAACAAAAATAATTATTATTTGGTTTAAACTGACATGATATGAAACAAATGTAAAGTCAGCACAAGAAAAACATAAACAAACACAAAAGGATTTTATTAGACAGAAGAAAATGGAGTGGCATTGTTTTAAATATTTTGGTGTTGTAGTTTTACTCTGAATGAAGTCAGAGGGGTTTATTTTTCTTGTCCCATCATAATTCTTTCATAGCTAGTAAGCTTCTCTTTTCTGTTGCCAAAATTAGATGCTTAAGCCGCCTTAGGAAATTTGGTTTTGGATGTCCCAATCCAACTTATACTGCTAGAGAACAACCCTACTCAACTGTATTGCTATAAAAAATGCATGCATGTTGCATAAATTAGTAAACATTATGCTTATAAAACAGAGCAGTCTCTTTTGCCATGTCAGCTTATTTTTTAACACAGCAGCACATTTTTGCTGACTGAGAATGTTTGCATGGAGGGATGGATGGAGGGATGGAGGGATGGATGGAGGGATGGATGGAGGGTTTGAAGTAAGAAGGTGTCATATTTTCGACTTCATGCAGTCATTTGTGTTATGGATCATTTTAATAAGCTGATCCCATTATCTCTTGGGCTACATGTTCCATTGCTGATAGAAATCAGCTAAACATTTATAAATCTTTAAATATTGTCATAACAAAGTTATTCATTGTGTAACTAAGGTTATGACCACATACTTCAATACACATAATTTTATTTAATGTAGACCAACACAAAGCAGCACATAAAGTTTAAATGGAAGGAAAATTATTAATTATTAGTATTTTTTTTTTTCATTTAAATTATTGCCATGCATTACATTTTGCATTCAGTCCCTTTAACTCCTGTATCCCCAAAATAAAATTTAATGTAATCAATTGCTTACTTAGTTTGTAAACTGAGTTTACCTGGATGTAATTTAATCTCAGTTTAAATCCAGACGCTCTGTGAAGGCCTCAGAGGTTTGTTAAAGATCATTAGTGAACGACTGAGAGGATCAAAGAAGGCAGCTGACAGGTCAGGCAGAAAGTTTAAAGTAGTTAGGTCATTAAAAATATCCCACGCTTTGAACATCACACAGAGCACGGTTCAATCCCTCAACCCGCAAATAAAAAGTGAAAAACACAAACCTATTAAAATTAGAGAAGCAGTTCAGAAACCCCTGGAAATAACAAAGGAGCTGCAGAGCTCCACAGGAAAATGATCAGTTGTGCATTCCACAATTTCAGAATGGAAGGGTGGAAAGACTGTTGAACCATGTAGTCCACACGGTAAACATGTAGTCAGATCGCACCAAATTCATGCCACACTTTTTATATCTTTGTTTTAAAAAATGCATCAAAACAATTTACCTCCCACTTCACAATTATGCATTACCTTGTATTTTATACAAGATAATGCATAATCCTAAAAAAATAATCCATATGAATTTGTGGAAAACATCCATAGATACAAATATTTTTGCAAGGAACTGTACATACATAATAATATTTGTACTTCTGCATTGTATGTTTATATTAAGATATAAGCTTTTAGAAACTGTTATCAAGGTTTAAAGCAAAACATGCCAAAGTAACAAGATGGCATGAAGATAAAGCAACGTAATTCAGTCACACATCTTAACTGAGATAAACATATTTTCCCCTGCATTGCTCTTTGTGATTAAGACATAAATCACCATCTTAAAATAGAATAAAATGTTTTATTGTTCCACAATTGTGGAACAAATGACAGGAAATTGTAAGTTTTTCTCCTACAAAAACATAATCAAAACTATCCAGTAAACTTTGACCTCAAATCCATTGTATTAATTCTCAATCTGTTTTCAGGGAACAAAATTACTTCCACTTCAAAAAAATATCTTACTCTTTGGCTATACAAATGACTACTAAAGCAAATTTTGTTATTGCTGCAGAGTAACAGACCTACTTCAGAGAAAAAGAGGATGTGAAACAGTGAAATTAAAGCAAGCCATAAACTTTGACTTAGAACCTCTGGGTTGAGGGCATTGGAGCTTTGATTTAACTAAACTTCTTTTCCCTTGGGGTGAACCAGCTTGGAGTTGGCGTATTTTCAAAAATCTGCTGCTAGTATTTTTTCCATTTCCGTCTGACTTTAATGAAGCCTCAGGAAGGTCAAACTCCTCCCTGGTTCCTTCAAAGTGTTAGGTAACATGTGAGGGACTTTTGGGACGTTTACAAAAGAACAAATAGCCCTGTTGTTCCAGTGACCTATAAATATATTAATTATAGCAGTTTGTTTAAAAACAAAAAACAGGAAGCATATCTAGTGAGGTATAGCCTATAACTTCCAGATCTTAGCAGGAAACATGTTACTTACAAATTATACATTTTAAACAAATTCTATGTACAGTGTCTTGCAAATGAATTAAGACACAATGATATGAAGTGGAAGAACAATTGTACATGTTTTTCTGTTTTTTGACAAATAAAAATCTGAAAACTGTGACTTGCATTTGTTTCCAGTTCCCTTTTGCTCAAATATTTTTTTTTTAAATCCACCACAACCAATTCAGATGTAACCTAGTTAGTAAATGCAATTATTTCAAGGTTTGGACATCTTACAAGCACAGATTAATCCATCTTCTGAAAATGACCAACAGAAAGCATTCTGAGACATGTCCCTCCACTTAATAAACATATTGTGCAAGGAGAACAATAATAAGTAGAGGAGGTAAAAGGGCCCAGTGTGTCTCTGGAGGAGCTGCAGAAATACTACAGCTTAGATGGAAAAATCTTTTGATATGACAACCTTCAGTTGTCAGTTCAGCAAATCTGGACTACATGAAAGTGGTAAGAAAAAAAAAGCATGACATAGTATGATTGAAGTTTGCCAAAAGCCATGCAGGGGACACAAATAACATATGAAAAGGTGGCCTGGTGAGTTGAGATAGTTAGCAATAGGCTCAGTGATCTGAAAAACTAACACCCTGAACATCTGGTACCCATGGTAAAACATTGTGGTGCAATAGAGTGGTGTGGGAATGCTTTTCTTCAGCAGATAGCGTGTTGGAGACTGCAGTGGAGGTTTACATTTCCTCAGGATTCCCAGACATTCAGACAGAGCTAAATTTTGACAGGCTTTGATTATGGTTTGCATGAGTCAAACATGCCTCAGGAAACACTTTACACTTGTGGAAGATTCATCTAAAACTTCAGAATTTTGATGTTCAAAGCTGGTCTTTCACAAGCCACATCACAACGATGAGCATCTCTGCATATGCCACATTTAATCAAAATACATGAAGTATTTTGATTAAATGGCTTAAAGACACAAAATAAGAAAAGGCTGAAAAAGCATAAATACTTTTACAACACATGACGTGAAGAAGAGATGAATAAATGCAGCTGTGCAGCACGTTATTAACAGTTGTTTACCCTTCAAATAGTAGAAAGTCCGTCTGCGTAAAACATGACCAAGAGTCAGGCGAATGCAGCCACAAACATTTACGTAACAGCAGGCAGCATGAGCACAGAGTTGCCATCTAAACGTCCTCCATGGATGCCGTTAAGCTGTCCGTTAATGTAGCTTAAGAAGCCTTACCTTTTTGACTGGTTTGTGAGTGGGCACAGCGCTGAACACCGACGACAGCTCTCCCATGTTAATTTCGCTGTTCCTGCTCACGGTCATGGCTGAATATTTTTCCGCGACATTTTCGCTCTCCTTCACTTCTTTGCTCGCCTGCTTCACCTCCGATTTTGCATCCCCGGCTGTCTCGGACATGTTGGCAGCAGTGAAACCTTACCTGGACAGAAACACAAGAACCGCCGAAGTAACGAGGTGAGCTAATGTTAAATGTCCGAGGCTTCTGCTGCTATTACTAGCTCACTGTTAAAAGGAGGGCGGAAGGGAGGCTTTTATGGTTTTACGACGTTAGAAAAAAAAACTCAGTAAACTATATTAATAGCAAATAATCTGTGACTGACTTTGGTTTGGAGATGAACAATATCTTTATGTGTCCAGTTTGGTTGCGTAGGTTGTGTCCGTGCTGTTTCCCTTCTGACTCAACTGTCACCTGGCTGAGAAACTTTGTGGGCAGTTACTAACAGCCTGCCGGGGCGTGGCGTGCGTAAGGACGCTTTCACGGTAGCTGGGAAAACGGATTTATACAATGCCGGCGTTTTATTTACGTGTTTGTGTTTTGTTTTTAGTAGACCAACTTTTACACCAAAAATATTTTCATACTACCCGTAATTTAGAATAAATATAGAGAGTAACAGGCCACTCTCTACACCCAATCTACGTTGTTCTCGTGTTCTGACTGATGAACTATCCCAAAATTCCGTACTCAAAAAAAAATCATTTTAAGTATTCGTTTGCAGTCATTTGCGAACCGTGCTGTTGCACCAGAATAGTAGCACGTACAAATAGACAAACAGACAGACAGACAGACAGACAGACAGACAGACAGAGAGACAGAGATAGATAGATAGATAGATAGATAGATAGATAGATAGATAGATAGATAGATAGATAGATAGATAGATAGATAGATAGATAGATAGATAGATAGATAGATAGATAGATAGATAGATAGATAGATAGATAGATAGATAGATAGATAGATAGATAGATAGATAGATAGATAGATAGATAGATAGATAGATAGATAGATAGATCGATCTAAGCCTGAAGCCTGATGTGGTAAAAAGAAAACATTATCAGATGGCTTCATCTGCATGCATATTGTAAATAATTTAGATACAATAATGGTGAAGAAGATGTCTGAAATATTTGCGTTATGGACATTATCTCCAGACACAGTTCTGGCCCGCATCAGAGTCACTAATCATGAGTCAATTTGCCGTTTAAAAATAAAGTATTTGATTTTGTTTGTTTGTTTTGCTTTTATTAAAAATGTTAAACTCCCTTGTTTTCATTGCAAATACAATAATGACAGTGAAATATATTTAGAATAAAATAAAGCAAAAATATTCCCAATTTACATATTTGCATTCATTAATTGTAATAACAACAATCATAATCATAATTACACAATGTATTCATGTATTGATGGTTCTTGGAAACTATTTAAATCTAAATAGAACGGGTTACTAAATCTAAAAGAAAAATTAAAAGAATAATTATAAAGAACAACATTGGAATCTTAAAAGGCAACTTTGAAAATGAGTGTTTTGGCAAACTTTACCATGGATTGTTTTGTGGAAATTTATGTACACGATACATTACAAAAGCAATACAGGAAAGAGATGAAAACCACCACATTAGCAGTCAAACGTCATGACTTTGAAGTTACTGACTCACACGGAGCATTTTTTCAGATGGTCTGTGAGAGTCATAACTAAACAATTAAAAGCAAACCTAAAAACAATTCAACTGCAGTTTTTACCATAGTACTTTTAATTGTTTCAGCACCTTCTGATTGTGGACCGATTTTGAGCCGGAGTATAATCCTATGGTCTGCAACCTTTAAAACTGAAATTTTCGCCCTCTGACCAGTTGAATAAAACCTGAAAGGTTACCGGACCTTTTAGAATATACATCCAGATGAGTCCTTTTTTGTCAGATTAAAAGTACCTTTTGAAAATAGGTACCATTACAAACACTTATGTTTTTTTAAAAAAAGAAATAATTTTGAAAACATTTTTGTTTTTAAATATTGTTTATATATTGGTCTGATGTACCATATTCTAATTTTAAATGTTGTGTTTTTATTAAGCAGGAAATCATAACAAATAACTAAAAATAAAGGTTTTTAAACACCAATCTGTGTGCAATTAATCTATATAATGTGTTTCACATAGTGCTGTTTCTGGAATAAGTTGGCTGTTCAATAATATTCTAATTTATTGAATGTGTTTTAACACATTTAACACTTGTGTGTTTTAACACTTTAAAAATAATACATGATGATGTATTATCATAATAATACATAATACATATAATACATAATAATACATAATAATACATGTATTATCATAATAATACATCATCATGTATTATTTTTAAAGAACCATAATTTTAATTATATTTCAAATTTTTAAAAAGAAAAACTTAAAACTTTTGCAATTGAACTGAATATGTTTTAGTCACATCGTTTTCAGTTTAATGACAAGAATAACTGATATTAAATAGATTGTCTTAATGTTGTGGATATTCAGTGCAATTATTCTATAAAAACGGACAAACTGTTAAAACTTGTATTTGTCTTATATCGGTATTTAAAAACAATAGTTTTTAATATTTAACCAAAGTTTTTAAGGGTAATTTTTCAAGGTCCAAGGTCCAAAGAGCCAGATGCGCCTCAGAGCTGCACATTGCTGACGAGATTTCCAACAAAATGTTGAAACAGCGCCACATCTAACTTTGTGGCCAAACGTGGTATTGCATTTCCAAAATATCTGAAATTTTGAAAACAAACATTAATTGTATATTCGGGGTTGTATTTTTGATACCCGTATGCAGAGACGTAAGTATTTTCGCGTTTGTTAATTTGTAAAAGAATTTTGATTGAAAAGTATGACACGGAAGCCCGCCCTACCGGAAACAGCTTCGTGGCGGCTAAGCTACACACAAACGTCCTTTCCGTCACGCCATTTTCCGTCGACTTCCGAGAGGAGCACGTCTGCGGTGGAGACGCTGAAGCTTTAAACTGCAAGCTGCATTAAACACGGTACAGTTCATGCAGAATGTGTTCTTGTAAATTATGCGGAGTCGCATCTAAAACATTATTTTGGTTAGCGCCGTCGTACCGCCTCAGCTTCGTGTGTTTTTATTGTTCGGTTTCTGTGGCTGTTAGCGCGGCTCCTACGAGTAGGCCTCGGAAAAGCGACAGCCATTTTAGCGATACTTTTGAGCACATTCGTCGTGTGAGCCACATCGAGTTTTCACTTCTAAAAAAATGCAATATATCGATCTGGATTTTAATTAAGAAGTAATTTAATGAAATGTAATTTGAGGCTAGTTCGTGTAGGATCTAAGTACGTTATTGGTTACCATGAACTGTAATTGAGGTAGAAAAGTGGGTCATGCTCTCGAGAGTAGAGCATTCAAATTAATAGCACTGGACCTCTTTTGTCGATGAAATACTTTGATTTTAAGCGTGTAAGTAAATATTAAAACCGAATATAAAAAAGAACGTGTTGGCTTTCAATTTGATACTTTAGACACTGTTTTGCTGCTTTTGTGGAATCTGAAGTGTAGTTTGTTAAAACTCGTAGGTTTTGTTTGAGGTTTTTGAATATCACCCAATTTGTTTGGTTTTAATGAGTTTTTTTCTCCTAAAACATTAAAGCAAACGTGTGTCTTTATGAAAAGGATTTTCACACAAAATAAACATGAAAGCATTTTTAGTTTAGCGTTAAACAATTCAGTTCAAATTTTTCATGTTTAAATTTAAAGGTAAACCAATATAATTCATATTTATTAAAAATATGGAATATGCCATAGTTTTTTTGTGATAAGACATTTTCGCACAGTTGATTTTTCTTACTGCTGCGTTTCTAATCTGTTTTTCTTTATTTCAGATCCAGCCATGCATCGGGACTGTCCCCTCGACTGTAAGGTTTATGTTGGAAATCTGGGAAACAATGGAAACAAGACTGAGCTAGAGAGGGCCTTTGGCTACTATGGCCCCCTGCGCAGTGTCTGGGTGGCCAGGAATCCCCCGGGTTTTGCCTTTGTTGAGTTTGAAGATCCCAGAGATGCGACTGATGCCGTGCGTGAGTTAGATGGAAGGTGGGTCACCATGTGCATATCTTAAGCTATAATTAAAATACCACGGAAACAGGTTGGACTTGTGCCACATGCCATTACTCAACAGCTAATCGGTTTACAGGACACTTTGTGGTTGCCGGGTGCGAGTGGAACTGTCCAACGGTGAGAAGCGCAGTCGCACCCGCGGTGCACCTCCTTCGTGGGGCAGGCGCATTAGAGATCGAGACGATTACCGGCGGCGCAGCCCACCGGCGAGGCGAAGGTGACCTACATATTGATATTGTTTTCAATATTATGTGTTTACATTTTTCTCTGTGAGTTACTCTTTTGTTTCTCCTATTGACAGTATTTTTCCTGATAAGTGAATGTGGTTTTCCATTCTAGGCTTCTGTAGAGCTTTTTTTCTGCTGAGCTTACATTGGTGACTGTTGCACTTTCTAAAGCTTGTTGTTTTAAATTTGATCAAAAATTATATCAGAAACAGATTAATAGCAATAGTAATAAGACCTTCCATCTCTCCTGTCTACAACAAAATTCCTCATTAGAATGGCACGCACAGCATTGAGTTTTGCTTTAAGCATCAATGCTCCTTTTATTGTGTACACTCCTACTAGCTTCTTTACAGTGGCAAAATAGGTATTTGGAACCGGTTTAGGCTCTTATTTAAAAAGAATAGTTTAACCTGTTTTCAGATTTGGGGGGGGTGAAAGTGGCAAATGTGTTTTTTTTTCCTTCTTGTTTGAGGATGTTTTTTACTTTTCATCTATATTAATAAGAATGAAACCCGTTGCAGAGCCACCACCATGCCTCTTCTCACCACCTTCTCTGAGTCAGTCAACTAGTCCTCTTTCAGCATCATGTGACTGCTGATCATCGTGCCCCAATCAGCTTGGCTGGTGCTGTCACATGACCCGGGCATGGCCAGTCGTCAGGTTGCACCAGCCCATTGGTTCCTCAGCATGCCGTTCTCAACCTCCTCCTCCTTCAGCCTTTAACCAAACGGCAGCGGCCTACCTCACATTCCCGACCAATCAGCGTATTATGTTTCCAAAAGTCTACACTCCACCAGCAGCAGCCTGCAGCTTACCAATTAAAGCAGGAATAAAGCCACAAGCAGCCCCCATCTGCCTGCCAACTTATCACCTTGCAGCATCTGGCCAGTCTCATTCAGCCAATTCTACCCACCCGGCCGACAGTCTGCCTCCCTTTCGTCATTTCTAGCTTGTT